AGAAGAAGAAGAAGAAGAAGAAGAAGAAGAAGAAGAAGAAGAAGAAGAAGAAGGAGAAGGAGAAGGAGAAGGAGAAGGAGAAGGAAAAGGAAAAGGAAAAGGAGAAGGAGAAGGAGAAGGAGAAGGAGGAGAAGGAGAAGGAAAAGGAGAAGGAGAAGAAGGAGAAGGAGAAGAAGAAGAAGTTGCTTTGTGACTACTTTCTAAGGACACTTTTATATTGCAAGGTATTAGATGCATTAGTAGATCACTTGATTTTGCGTTGTTTTGGTTTGCCTTAGGTCTAGTAGCTTGGTGCAAAGCGCAAATTTTATTAACCATATTTTAGAGATGACCACTAATCCCTTCCACCCACCCACCCACCCCTCCCCCGCCTTCGACACGCCTTATTAAGAGTACAAATTTTAATTATTACTTCGTGCCAGCATGTAAAATGGAAACGAATAACAAACGTTTTTGTTTCGTCTGCCCATTGAACAATCACTACCTTAGTTTTACAAAGGTCGGTTTGCTCAGCACCTAGTTTTGAGAAATTTGACGTTAATTTTTTTTAGTTTCACACCATGTCAAGCTTTTTCGAATGCAATTCTTCGAATATCTTGATAACGACTCCCAATGATCTCACAATTTTGATAGAGCAGATACACCATTATTTGCTTTCTGACCTTATGGTCGTATTAACTCAAAACAGCCAAAAATGTCACGTAGAACGTTGTAATTCTGAGGTGGCGTAATGTTGTTTTTGGTCCTATCAAAGCTCAGATCACTAATTTCATTCAACAAGGTACGGTTTGCATTGTTAGTACACGACGCGCATTGTCATAAACTATTTTTCCTGTCCCTCATGATATGAACCTCTTGCCCTCATTTTACATTCTGTTCGTGGTATTATGGGTTTTACCATATTTTTCTTTTGTTTTTTAAATTTTTCATCGTGTCAATGGAGGAAACATCTTTAAGTGTCCATTTACTAATTGAGAAACCCTGTCAATGTTTTTAGATTCCATATCTTTATATAAAATGTATTATGATACAATTAGGATGATATTAAATTGGTCCACCTTTACTCATAGAATACTGTTTTGTTCACTTTTTAAAATCATTGTATATAGCATAGGAAAACGGTGTGATTAAGGGTCAAGAGTGGATTTTGGTTGACTTGGGTTCAAATCGAACCGATGAAATTTGTTCAGTTAGATGTGAGCGAGTGGTTGGAAGGCGCCATTGGTAGTTCCTACTGCTTTACTTTCTCTCTGTTGTTTCTATCCGTCTGTCTTACTTTATCTCAACACTAAATGGCCATCATTGTGTCAATACGATTCTCTTTACTCAAACTCAAATGTGTTGTGTTTTGTTGGGGTTGGTTTATTATGTTCAGGATGAAACGCAATCACACTTTGAGCCAAACTCAAATTACACTAAAGAATCTGGTTCGAAATTGGTCAACACTGAGGCGCTAAACTATTTACCACCTCAATTTCTCAAAAAGAGATACTGAGCAGATAGAACTTTTATAACTCTAGGGTAGCGACCTGACAAATACAAAACAGCAACAACAAGACAAGACATACATACATTTCCATGTGTTCGCATGTGCGTTCCATAAGAGATGAGTTGTTAGGAGAACTGATTAAGGCGATTCTTTTCGTATCCCTTCTGAGGCGTGTCCAAACTGAGATTGAAGTGACGTGAAAGCGAGTTCCGGACTTCGTAATACGACCTGTCAGAAGCGATCACAGTAACTCTACAGTAAACAAATACTGTCTCTTCCGTGCTAACAGAGTGCACTTTGTTGAAAGGGACTTAAACTCAAACTCAAACAACGACTACCTCCACGTTAATCTATTCTTGTCTGGGTCCACACTGGGTTTTGCTTAGGAACGCCTTGGTCAATACCCCATGCCAAGGATCAAGACTGGCTGATAGTCTAATTCTACCGGAGAAATACTGGAGATAGGGACTGTTATAATGCCTTACCGCCCCTGACATCACCGCGGCTATAAGGCATTCCTTGACCTCAGTTATACATCCTATAACCAAATTTTCCGAGATCCATCCACCTCAAATGGTCACTTCAAGCTCAGAATAATTTATTGTGCCCGTTATACTATCATTCTTTAGAAAGTCAAATAAAAAGTAAAAGTTCTACTTATACCACAAGAGACTACTTTGGAAAGTGAGATTCAGAGTGTTAACACCTTCACGTCGTGACTCCACATGACTGCCAAGAGTCCAAGACTGTTTCGGGCTCTCTGGTTGGACTATGAATAGAAAAAGATGTGAAGTTACTGTGACTTTCCAACCATACCCGTGCACGAATCTAGAGCAGTGCTTGTCAATTGTCAACATTTTCATAACCAACGCCCGCTTTTGCCGCCTTAAAGAGACTAACACTTTTTTACCACCAACCTGCATGTTTTTTCAAAGGAGACATCTAATAATACATGTCAGTGTCACTACCCAAGAAGCGATCTTCGCCACCCACCAAAATCAATACATCTCCCACTAGTGGACGGTATCGCCATAGGTTGGCAAGCGCTGATCTTGATCTACGTATATATAATGTACGGCCTATTTCATCGTCAGAAATAATGTTATCTTTATTACTCTAAATTAAAAATAATACGACTCATGGGAACCATCACAATGACAACTGAGAAGAATTACGCTTTTCATAATAATTTCGTTCACAGAAAAATGCTACAGGAGTTCAGGTGACATAGTTGCAAACACAGCTTAGTCACTACTAGACAACACGTATGGTCCCTGGCCACTTAGGTTATAGTCTATAAGACGAGCTATCTAGGTTTTGACGCCTGCTTACTACAGAAGGAGCATTATTTTTGTGAAATGATACAAAAGAGATGCTAAACTTTGAAGAATTTAAAGCTGAGGGGAATTTTGTAAAGATTAATTAATTAGATTATGAGACAGGTGTTATTATCGTCCCAAGGCACTCACCTCACGTGTCACTACTCTCGCCACACACTGTGGTCGACGACACATATCCAGACAACTCGATCAAAGTGCTACGATGTGTGTGTAATGTCGGCTAATCCTTCTTTTACTTGCATTGATAAAACTATCTTTCACCTCCATTGACACCTGCCCGTCAATCTGTGTGAGATACATGAACATCTAGTCGAGCGGCAAGACATTGGACTTATAGCAACAAAAAAGTTTGGATTGCAATTTTCGGCTCCGTCGAACTGGACACTGTATCCACACACTATCAAACGGCACTGATTCACAGCTCAAAGGTTCGATCTACCTAAGACTAAGAATCACCGCGGGCATTTTCTTCTCTTCTTTCTTTTTCTTTCTGTCTGTCTGTCTGTCTGAATTTCTTTCATTCTTTCTTTTGTGTGTGAATTGGGGAAGGGGGGAGGGGAGGTATAAGCGGCTTTGTATTACATGCATTTCTCTATTAGAAGATTAACATCCTACTGGCACAATGGGCCAACGTACGAAACGTTGGAGGCAGGACACCGGTGTATGTGGTGTAGCAGTAAGGTTTTTTTTAAATTATCTCCGTCTGTCTGTTGGGACTATGTATCCCTCTCAGCCCGGTTGACCTTGACAGCAATGTCGAAGCAGCCATCTCCCTAAATGATCGAACTTTTATCGATTGGGGCAGAAGACATCTACAATTAGATTTGTTATTATTATTATTATTAT